CCCACATGCATTTTTATCACTGATACTTATTGCCCGAAATGGTTTAGATTTCAGTGAAGTGTAGAAAATCATCATCTGTGTAGTTGTTACATACTAGTACATGGGACTGATGTAGACACATTAATGGTGATAGTGTATTGTGTCCATTATATACCACATACATACATATTCCCAAATGTCAGTTTTAAGTTTTTGAACCTTGTCATTTATTGTCAAAGTTGAGCAATTTTTTGTAGAAAAAAATTATCCAATTTTTTCAATGCAATTTACTCAGTTTTTTTGGGAGGATTCATATAAGAATTCACCTTGCATCTATGCAAACATGACTTATCAAGCATTTTTCATGGCCTCAAAATGTAAGTTGTTAAGTTTTTTCTATGGTCTCATAAACTAAAACCAAAATGCCTGTGGACAATGTAAATCACAGAGTATATATCTGGAGGCTTTATTTTGAAATACACATATTTACACAGACATATGATGAATGTGGTTGTGTGTTCGACTGTGATTTATGTTGTCACTGGCATACTTACCAAACTCAAAAGTACTTTTCTGAACAGTTTACTGCACAGATACCTTAGGTTACTACTCTATTTTTTTCTTTTTTTGGAAAGCAGTAACAATAATGTCCGGAGATAAATGGGAAGGTATCTAAAGTCAAATGCATCCTTAATGCACAACCTGTTGCTTTTACAGGTAGGTAAAATATATTATGTATGTGTATATTGACTTGCTCCGAATAAAGTCTTTTCATAGTGTAGTTCCGTATTTAGAAACGAAGAAGCTAAATATTAGGTTGGGGAAAAAGAAATCCATTATTTTTTCGGAAGATGGCTGTATTAATAGATTTCTCGTAAAGTATCGATTTAGGCTCGTTGGAAGGGTGACATTTCGCAGTAAAAAATATTTTCTGTTTTTGGTTTGGTGCATTCAGTTGTGAGTTATAGGGTCTTATATATGGAAGTGAAGAAAGAGAAAAGTCGGTACAGTTTACAGATTTTCTTTGACAAAGGCGAAAATGCAAGCCAAGCGGCTAAAATTGTAGATGGTATTTATGGATCCGATACTGTAACAGCCAATTATGTGCAATTTCGGTATCGTAGATCCGTTCAGGAATTTTTTATGTTAAAGATGCACCCCGCACAGGAAGGCCGTTTGTCGAAAATGCCGATAAAATCGGAGAAATGGTCATAGTTGGCCGGCCTGTTAACATTCGTAACATCGCCCAGGAGCTAAAAATCGCCCATAATATTATTTAAACCGTTTACAATTGACCAGAAACGGTCAGAATTGGCCAACAGGAGAGGTGCCGCCTTCCATCAGGACAACGCTAGGCCACACACATCTACAGTAACTCGCCAGAAACTTCGGGAGCTTGGTTGGGAGGTTTTAATGCATCCGTCATACATTCCGAACTTGGCACCAAGCGATTATCATCTTTTTGTTGCAGTGAAAAATGTCTTTAATGATAAAAAATTGGTATCTAGGAAGGATTGTGAAAATAGACTACTACTTTTTTTTGCAAATAGAGGCATTAGGATGCAGAGGCATTAGGATTTCACCTTTAAAATGGCAAGAAATCATACAACAAAACGGTGCGTATTTGACATTCCAAATCGGACATTCCGGCATGTTAAACCAGTAAGGAAAGCAGTAAAGTCGGACGGGGCCGACTATATGATACCCCTCACCACTATGGGTATATTAAACAGGACTATTATCATGAAATTGTATGAAATAAAATATGTGATATTTATCTAAATGTGAAACGACATAAACATGTCATTCGTTTGTTACAATGGAACAAAAGTATGTAAATCGACTTCAAACAAATATCAAAAGGTCATCCGTTGGGCTTGGTCTGTACTTCTAGAAAACCCAACTACGTTATTCTATACCCAATTTTGTACGTTGCGCAAAATTTGATGTCAATATGAGTAGTTTGATGCACAATTTGCTTATATATGGAAGCCATATCCAAATATGAACCGATTTCAACGAAACTTGTCACAGGTTAGGTTATACTGATTTCAGTACGTTTTGTTCCTATAAGCCATATATTGGTTCCTTGGTGCGTCAATTACTTAAAATCAATCTATAATATAAAGGAGCTGTATCTAAATCTCAACCGATTTTCACTAAACTTGGCACACGTTATTCTGGATTAAATTCAAAACGCTATGCAACATAAGAACTTGGTATATTATTTAGATTAAATCGGACGTAAATATATATATATATCTAAATCTGAATCGATTTTCACGAAACTCAGCACAAATCATTCCAGCATCAATTCAGTACGTTATGCCAAATTTCGTGCAAATCGAAAGATATATGGGACTTTGGTGCACCATTTACATGAAATCGGACGAAACTATATATGGGAGCTATATCTAAATCTGGACCGATTTTCTCGAAACTTGGCAGACATCATTCTAGGCTCAATTAAGTTTGTTATGTCAAATTTCGTGCATATCGAAAGATATATAGGGCCTTCGGTGCACCATTTACATGAAATCGGACGAAACTATATATGGGAGCTATATCTAAATCTGGACCGATTTTCACGAAACTTGGCTGACATCACTCTAGGCTCAATTCAGTACGTTGTGTCAAATTTCGTGCAAATCGAAAGATATATAGGGACTTTGGTGCACAATTTACATGAAATCGGACGAAAATATATATTGGAGCTATATCTAAATCTGGACCGATTTTCACGAAACTTGGCAGACATCACTCTAGGCTCAATTCAGTACGTTGTGCCAAATTTCGTGCAAATCGAAAGATATATAGGGACTTTGGTGCATCATTTACATGAAATCGGTCGAAACTATATATGGGAGCTATATCTAAATCTAGACCGATTTTCACGAAACTTGGCTGACATCACTCTAGGCTCAATTTAGTACGTTGTGCCAAATTTCATGCAAATCGTAAGATATATGGGGACTTTGGTGCAGAATTTACATGAAATCGGACGAAAATATATATGGGAGCTATATCTAAATCTGGACCGATTTTCACGAAACTTGGCAGACATCACTCTAGGCTCAATTCAGTACGTTGTGCCGAATCGAAAGATATATAGGGATTTTGGTGCACCATTTACATGAAATCGGACGAAACTATATATGGGAGCTATATCTAAATCTGGACCGATTTTCACGAAATTTGGCAGACATCACTCTAGGCCCAATTCAGTACGTTATACCAAATTTCGTGGAAATCGAAAGATATATAGGGACATTGGTACACCATTTACATTAAATCGGACGAAAATATATATGGGAGCTATATCTAAATTTGAAACGATTTTTCCCAATTTCAATAGGGTTCGTCCTTGGGCCAAACAAATGAGCTGTGCCAAATTTCATCCAATTCGGATCATAAATGCGACCTGTACTTTGCTCACAAAAATACATGGACAGACAGACGGACGGACATGCTTAAATCGACTTAAAAAGTGATTCTATGCATATTCTCCTTTTGCCTGTTACAAACATATGCACAAAGACATAATACCCTGTACCACAGTGTGGTGAAGGGTATAAAAACCAGCAAGAAAAATAGTAAAGTCGGGCTTTCGAAAGAACAATGACATGAAATTGAACGAACCTTAATAGGTGATATTTATATGTGAACCAACCAATGGGACAAACTTTGGGTCTTCAGTGTAACAGTGGGTCTTGGGTGCACTATTTACATTACATCGGGCGAAAATATAAGTGGGAGCTATATCTAGTACACATCATTTCGTGTAAATCGAAAGATATATATGGACTTTGGTGCAACATTTACATTAAATAGGACAACAAATTTATGGGAGCTGAAGGAGCTTAGGACACTTCATTCCGATTTTCGCGAAACTTTGCACACATTATTCTATACTCAATTCAGTACGGTATACGGAATTGCGGGTAAATCGAATGATACCGAGTCTTTTATGGACTATTTACATTAAATCGGTCGAAAATACTTTTGGGAGCTATACATAAATCTGAACCGATTTTCACGAGACAGCACACATTATTTTAGACTAAATTCAGTGCGCTGTGTCATATTTCGTGCAAATCGAAAGATATATACTGTCTTTGGTGCACCATTTACATTAAATCGGTCGAAAATATATATGGGAGCTAGATCTAAATCTAAGCCGATTTTCACGAAAATTAGCGCACATTATTCTAGACTTTAATTATTATACTATGCCAAAATTCGTGCAAATCAAAAGATTTGCTGGGACTTTGGTGCACCATTTACCATTGGTGCACCATAATTCTAAGACGATATGTTTATGTTCGTATAACCATGCTGGAAATATATTTCCAAAAATTATAAACATTGGTCTACTTCTTGTAAGGTAGCTATAACCTTACAAACGATTTTGGATACGTTTTGCAACCGAATTTAATATGTTAAGTTCCTGACTGGATATCTAATCTCCCTAGAAAATAATGGTCTAAATAACGGCCCACAATAAGGTGAATTGTATATCAAATTTGTCATTATGAATACAATACCTCGAAATATTTACCTGAAACCCCATAAAGTATATACCGGGATACGATATTAAAACTAAAATCTATGCCGATTCAGCCATGTACCTAGATATTGGGAAATATACAAGTTCTGCTTATAATAAAAACATTTATAAATATTTAAGATATTTTTAGTCATTTTGAGTTTCGAGCTTTGATATCGATATTGTCCCCCATAGGCTTTAGAATTATTAAGAATGCAGTCTCAATAATTGATAACGATTTTATCCAGACATTTTTGTTTCAAATTATTTACATTTGCCCAATTCATAAAAAAAAACACTTCCCAATAAAGCTTAACAATTTCCAAAGAAAAACAAACGACAACAACAAATATTTAAATTTAACAAATGTTTGTGAACAATAAATATCTCCAGACCGACTCCAAAAAAAAACGACAACCACGAACCACAACAGAAAAAAATTCCAAGTCACTTCGATTTTGGTTTTTCGCAAACGATGTTATTCCGCCAAATTGTGTGGTTAGTGATCGCTTTGTCTTTTCTTGATTTAACTTCAACGGCAAAACCTCCCGCCCATGTATCCGGACGAATTGTGGGTGGTGATTTAACAACCATCGACAAAGTTCCGTACATGGTACAAATCTGGTGTAAAGGAAAATTTAATTGTGGTGGAGCTCTGTTGACGAGACGTTTTGTACTTTCCGCAGCGCATTGTTTTAAAAATGTAACACCCAGCGATTTATTTGTTGTGGCTGGAGCTACAACCCTTTCCGAGACTGGTGGAATACGAAGTAATGTAATTAAAATAATGATGCCTGCCTCATTTAGCACCGCCACAATGGATAATGATGTGGCAGTGTTGAAATTAGCCACAGCCTTACATGGGCCAAATACCCAAACAATTGGTCTATACAATGACAATTTGAAAATTGGCCAACAAGTGGAAATTTCTGGTTGGGGTCGTACCAGTGAAATGGGTGATGTGTCGTTCCAGTTGCGTACCATAAGAGTTCCGGTCTTAGCAAGGCCTCAATGCCGTCAACAATATTCGAAATATATAGCGCTGACAAAGAATATGTTTTGTGCTGGTTTGCCGGGAGCTAAGGATTCATGTTCGGGTGATTCTGGTGGTCCGGTTGTGGCTAATGGGAAAATATGTGGTATTGTTTCGTTTGGTGTTGGTTGTGCCCGCCAAGGGTTGCCTGGAGTTTACACGAAAATTAAGGAGGTAAAATCGTTTATAATGGCATGTCTAGCGAGATGAGTGTTATCTAATTATTTACATTGTTAAATAGTTGTAATAAAATATTTGTATTTTGTATATTAATAATAATACCATATAACAGAAATTTTAATAAAAATAATTGAATTGTAATGAATAAGACTTTAAAATGTACATCTGGGAGATTTATTTCTTTTTATATACCCTTCACCACATTGTGGTACAGAGTATTATGCCTTTGTGCATATGTTTGTAACAGGCATAAGGAAGTGAGATAGACACATGGTTCCTTTTGAGAATATGCATAGAATCACCGTCCGTACGTCTGTTCATGTCATACCAAGCAACGGCTCTGATTGGCTTTAACATGGCGAAGCCCAGGTTTATGTTGGTCGCTCTTTCATCTCAACTGTGGATACTGACCTCCTCGTGGTGTCACCTGGGGTAGCTATTTTCATCACCAGTTGAATATGTGCCGCAAGATCACCCATAAGAACTGCCACACTCGGAAAACCCCTCTTACTATGAAAAAGCCACGAAAAAGAAAACAAAACCCCCCAATGTTATTATTTGCGCCCATGTTCCATGATGAACAGACCAAAGACATATTTTACAAGCGCCTAGAAACAGCATATGAGCGCTACCCTGGCCACGACATTAAAGTTCTGCTAGGAGATTTTAATGCAAATTCGGAAGGGAAGCTATTTTTGGCCCCACCGACAGAAAATTCAGCCTCCATGAAGAAACATCTGACAACGGCATGAGGTTGATTGAGTTCGCGGCAGAAAAAAAACATGGTAGTCAGTGTTTTAGACGTTTGATCGATAAGAGAAGCGAATATCGATTCGGACCATTGCCTTGTGTCAGCCAAGGTTCGCACTCGTCTTAATGTAGCAGTAAAGGTGCGATCTAATCTAATAGGGAAACTCGATGTCGAAAAGCTGCAAACACAAAAGGTAGTAGAAGCCTACTCTGGTCAACTTACCCACCTGCTTGATGAAATCACTTCTTGTCCCGATAATAGTATAGAAGCGCAATCACAAAGAATTACCCAGGCCCTGTAAACTGCAGCAAAAGCAACCACCATCAAGATCAGGAGTGTCGTATTGCTACTGATGTGAAAAACACAGTGTATAGGGCAACCCACGTAATGCGATGGAGAATTATCGGGAGAAAAGGAGAGAGGAGAAACGTATTTTCAGAAAGAAGAAGCAAAAATGGAAAGAAAAATCATGTTGAGCGTGAGTATCAAATAGTGGCGGGTATGACGGTATAGAGTCTATACCACCTAGCCAAGATGAGGTCAGAATAGCAATTAATCATCTGAAGAACAATAAAGCAGCAGGTACGGATGGATTACCAAGACGGATTAGGCAAGACAATATTTGCCAACTATAGAGGAATAAATCTCCTTCCCATCGCATATAATGTGCTATCCAGCGTGCTCTGTGAACGACTGAAGCCAATGGTCAATGACATTATTGACCATACCAATGCGGCTTCTGGCCTGGCAAATCCACTATTGATCAGATTTTCACTCTGCGCCATATCCTGGAAAAGACCCACGAAAAGCACATCGACACATACCACCTATTCGGCGACTATAAAGCCGCATTTGACAACACTATCCGTTCGGAGGTGTTTAAAGCCATGTCTGCGTTCGGCATTCCTGCAAAATTAATACGGCGATACCGGAATGACTTTAACTGCCACCAGGCCAGCAGTAAATTCGGAAAGGACTTCTCGGATTCCTTCAATACCGAACGAGGATTCATACAAGGTGACAGTTTGTCATGTGGCCTTTTTAACATCCTGCAGGAAAAGGTCGAATACGAATTGCAAAAGTGAACAGAATGACACTCTGTACACCATGCAGCACACGTTACTCGTCTACGACGATGACATCGACATTATGGGTCGAACATTGTGAGCGATAACAGTCACTTTTGATCGAATTGAGAAGGAGTCTGCGAAAGTGGGACTGACAGTAAATGGCGAGAATACCAAGCTGATGATATCAACGCGCAAGACGTCCAGTAGACTCGGACCAACGGTTGCTGTAGGATTTTATATATTCCTTGGTACCGTCACAAATAAAACTAATGACATCAGTTTTCAAATTCAGAGAAGAAGAGTGGTGGCCAAGGTTCGGAAAATATGCCAGGGTAAGAAAGAGGAGCTGTTGATCTCTAATCGGTTAAATATCGCTATATAATGACTTGAAATATAGATCCGCAGAAAGTGTGAGTTCCGTGGTAGTTGTGAAAGGCATCATATGGTCGGCCCTGTCCGACTATACTATTCCGGAGGTTGCGATGTGAGAGAATACCCGTAAGGGTATTCTGGTGTTTTGTTTGTATCTGTGCCTTTGGGTTTACTAATCATGGGTCATGGATCGAAACTAGTAGGGTTACCATTCTCGAACATTGTAGGCTTGTGGAATGGTCATTGGGTGGGGATGGGAGACGGTGTGGAAATTGATATCAAGAGGTGTTGGTTTTTGCATCTGTTTTTCATCCTCTTTTAAATGTTATTCCCTTGTGGTGAGCCTTCAGCTATTAGTTCAAATGGTAGTAGTTTTGGCTACGGAAACATACAGAGGTTAGTCTGTGAAGGACCATTTCCGAATTAGCAGACTTGTTGTACAATTTTTGGGAGGGGTGAGATGTATGGTGGCTACAAATGTCGTAAGCTGTTGGGGTTACTTTTGCTTTGTATCCCTTTTCAGCGATTGTTTCATTGTAGAGAACCGTCAAATATTAGTTTTAATCTTAGTAGTTTCGGCTATGAAACTGGGCAGAGGATATATGTGCTCCGCTCCTCATCCAAGGAGGTGATCACGTCCAAATACGTGTTATCGATTGGTACCTGCATGTTGGAGCGGGGGCGTTGGTTGACGCTTTGTATTAACTGCTGTTTACAGCAGGGTGGGGTAAGGCCGCAAGGTAGGTACCCCGCACTCTAAGCATCTCTGCTCCGTTCACTGGTTTTGATATAGCGTCCTTATAATGGTTTGAGGATTTCGGTATCGTTAATTTAGTAACCGTATTTTCCAACCTGAGAGTCGGTGGTTCGGTGTTTTGTTTTCTTCTGGCAGCAGTTACGTTGGCATAACATCCATAAAAAGTCCCGATCGATTTTAGTTTTTTTTTCCAATGTGAATAATAACATAAATACTCGTTTTAATTTATGTTTGGACTACATATTACGGTATGCAAAACTATTACGGTGAGGAACAAAACTAAACGCAAACAAATTGGATAGGATCACTACACGGCCTAATCGATATCGTGATACACTGGTTGATTTCTTTAGAGCACTCAACAAATTCTGGATAAATTGAATACACCTTAATAAATTTTGACATATGCTCGTCTCTGTATC